TCAAATGTAATATTTAACAATATCAAAATTAAGTTTGTAAAAAAAGCATTATAATTAAAAGTCAATTAGATTACTTAAATATAATAAATAGTTATTGGATATGTAGCATCTAATAACAGTTTTATTTGGTTGGCAGAAAAAATAAGAATATCATGATCCAAAGGATCACAGGATAATCATTTTGGATGACAAATAAAAGAAGTATCTGGCTTTAAATTTAATATACTAATCTGAGCTTTGAAAGGGCTCAAATTGTCAAACATATTAAATTCAAGTCAAATATGCTATTATTAGATACAAAATATCTAATAACAGATTTCTTTTTCTTTTATAACAAATAAATCTCATGAGCTTAATTGGCGTATAATGCGTATTATATGACCTATATTTACTATTAAAAATAATTTATTATATATACTTTCTAGGGTTTGAAATAAGATATAATTAACATCAGAGAATTTTATGAATTATTTGGCCAAGAACACAATTGGCCTGACAATTTTATTGAGTATTTTTATACATGTTTTGGAATACATCATTAATAATTATATTTTTATTTTGTAGGATTATCATGCATGCTACTCATACTCTTAGTTTGATTATTCCTTTGTTATGATGGTAGTTGCGTGATGATTTATGAATGATTCATTGTGTTTGCAAGCATTTTTGCATGAATATTAAGATAAAAATTAAACTCTTAATATAATCATCTCTTGTTATACTGCTCTAGTTCTAGTATAATGATGATTGTATGATGGATACACTTTCAATAATCATTCCACTGATAGCTAATTTAGCCAACATCATGCCAAGTGAAATTTAGTAAAAATATATACCTGCAACTAATTAACTCTAACCCTATATGATGTCTGCTAAATAAAGTTTTAGTGAAATTACTATTGACGAAATGAGCAGAACTGCATACTAGCATATGATGATTACATGATAAATCCCTTATGATAGCATAAATGTCTACGTGAAGATTTTAACAATAGACAGATAAATTATTAATAAAATAAAATAAAAAATAAATATAATCTATTTATATTTTGTTCAACATCTTGCTTCAATTGCCTTTTTTTTACAGATCATGTTTTGTACTCATGATTCATATTATTATATATATTTTTTATTTTATTTTATATACATCTTTATATCTCAATCTAATCCCAGTATCCTAAACAAAAAATCGTACTAAGAATAACATATAATAGTTTGGCAAAGCTATTTATAAATAAAAAATAAAACCTGATAACTATATATATCATCTGATTTTAGACAAATTGTCTGCTGTGAAAATAAATTGTCCAGAAAACTTAATTACAAATTCAAAAACCACACCTTTCACTCAATATACTGTTAAAATAATCACAAAAACAGAGAAATAATCATAAGAGTTTGCTATAGGGTATTTGTTTTAATTCAGTTGTTATTTATACTATATAAAACCCCTAAAACAAAAGAAATAGCTTTTTTTTTGTAGTTAGATCTCTAATAAGCAAGTTTGTTCTCAAGATTGATAATATGTTTATATTATATTTGTTAGATGAAGTCTGTAAATTATAATATTGATAGAAGTAGAAACTGGGTTCAGCTTTTGTAATCTTAAATCTAATAAATAAATTTAAAAAAACTCCCAACACATGGGCAAGCGCACAACTTATTAATAACAGTTAACAGAACTAGAAATTACTAAAGTGAAAACGTCTGACTAATCTAAATTAAGCACGTCTAACTAGTCACTCACGTGAACTGCACTGTCATTAAGAACTTTTGCAGATTAAAATGAAATCAGATTAAAATAAAAATAGGGACCTCTCTTGCTTACTTTTAAAGCTTATAAAACCCACATATACTCTTTTATAAATAACCCTAACCCTAAATCCTAACCCTAATACTAAAAAATAGCTTCTAAAAAATGTTAAACAATAGAAAATTTTCATTTTGATCTAATTTAGTTTTAATCTGTCACAAGAACTATCTATAGATTGTTCGCTGTGCAGGTGCACAATTTTTATTAAACCCAAAATATAATACGTCTACATTCATTATATAACACACTTTATTTTATAACATTTGTTTGATATAAGGGTTAGGATTAGGATTAGATCAAGTTTAGAACAAAGGTATTTTATATAGTAAAATTTTGCAATACATTTTCTTTTTTAGAACATTACAATTAGTGTCGGCATTCTATCATTGTATTATAAATTTTACTTGTTGTTCCGTTGTTCTATTGAAATTTTTATACTGAATTATATTAAATTATATATATAGATATATATATATTGATATATAGTTTTCTAAATAACATATCTGTTTAATAACTATAGATTATTTAAATTAAAAAATTCTTTATATGCAATGGACTACTTGTGAATATTGACCAACCCTAAATACAATATTATCAATTACATTGTTATTAGTTGTTTGTTTTTTTTTTCCTTTGCACACTTCCGTTTTCATATATAAGTATACATTACTTCTTTGGGAATCTGGAATGAGATCTAAATGGTCATATATACTTTCTCCAAGTTCTTCAATTAGTTTTTTTAATAAAATTTGTATGATATTAAAAGGCTCTTCGCCCAATGGCATTCTTTCTTTGACTTGATTTTCCCATTCAGAAGGTGGTGCAGAAAGTAAAAATTCATTGAGATCTCTCAACAATTTATTGGGACGAAGTTTACCAGATTTTATATTTTTATGTACAAAGTTTGACAAGTGCTGTAAATACTTCATTATGAATTCGATGAATTTTATAGTGGTGGTAGGATCATCCATTTCTCGCAATTTTGCAAATGATACATTAAGGACGGATAGTAAAGCACTAAAGTATTAAATATTAATATTATTTTAATAATATATATGAAAAATCACTGTAATTCAATATTAATTTCTAAGTAAAATAATTTTACCCGTAAATTAAATTCCGATTACAATTTAAAAGTACTTTATTTATGGAAATTCTGAGCGCCTTTAATAAATGTTGTCCTGTTCCTTGCTTCTGAAGATTTGAATTCGACAATTGAAATGTTAATTCTGATAGTAATCCTTCAAGTAAATCTTGAGAAACAATCAATGCTAACTTTTTATTCGAAAACAATTGGTTTAATGTGTTTATTAAATTCTTGTACAATTGAATACTTGTTCGTGATTGTAAATTAAGTTGCGTGTATGACACCCTTATTTTATTAGTTAGGACATTAACAAGTTCAAGTACGTATGAAATAGCGAATTCAGGAGACATTTTCAACTGTTTATTCAACTGTTCCAATGTTCTAATGCATTGTTGATGTTCAGAGTTCATAATTTTAGATAGGTCTACCTTTACCAAGGATAATGAGTCACGTCCAGAAGTACCTTGGTTGGTTGGTGGTATTCCAGAAGAATTTGCCGTCGTTGGTCTCTTATTATTAGGAATAGAATATTCTATATTTATAGATTTCTTCTTCTTGTCAGGATGCATTGCAAGAGATCCAGTTGGTTTAGGTAATATTGATAGTTCACGATTTTTTTTATCTTTGAAATTTGATTTTTGACCCAGCTCTTTGATATCTTTTTCTTTAGACAGAGACTTGGTATTATATGATAAACTAACTGCAACATTTCTTTGTTTTACATCACCTTTATGACCTCCGTACTCCCTTAACTTAAAATCATGGTCAGTTACTCTTATGTCTTCTTTGTGTTCTTGTAACTTGTGCAATTTGTTTTTTTCATTTGCATCTTTGGGAGGATTAGAGAGCCAAACTTGTAAATCCTTTTGCAATAGAGCATTTCTAGTAATTAAAATTTTCTCAACAGAAGAAATTCCAATAGCAGAAGCAAAACATTTTAAGCAATCAATAGCATGTTCGCGGACAATGACATTTTTTTTATTTTGCAAAATTTCAATAACTGAATTAATGAACGTTGTTGCGTATTTTTTGAATGGGTCTCCCATGGCAGTTGCAATTTTACCACAAATGTTCAATGATATAATTTGTAGATTCACATTATTATCAGAAAGACGTAACTTGAGAATTCGGGGAAGATCACCTACCGATAAATAAGTTATTGTTTAATACAAGATTAATTCAAACGTGATAAATTGTTATAAATTGGCATAAATGAAATAAATACCCAAGTTTGATCCAATTTGCTTGTTATCATCCACAATTTTAAGAATTTTATTAAGGGCCTTTCTTCTTATCTTCAAATTTATATCAGTAGCTTCCTAAATTAATTTTTTATAAGTTTATAACTCAAAAAAATTGTGGATAAAAAAAGTCGATAATTATTACACTAACTTCCAACAATTTATGAGTAAATTGTGCACTAATATCGGGTTTGGAGAGTTCTCCCATATTCTTTTCACTATGTTCCGAGCTCTTTATTTCGGACTGATTTAACATTACAAATTTTAATTAAAGTAAAAAAAAATTATTAGAATAAGAAAGCTATTAATTATCATACTAACAGTTATCATTTTGCAAGTGAACTGTGCACAAAAATCAGTATTCTGGAGTTTTTCCACAGTATTATTTCGCTTATTTTCTGAATTTACTATCTCGACCTGATTTAATATTAAAAAAAAGATTTACATGAGACTGAATTATAACAGTAAAGTTATTAAAACATTATACTAACATGTGTCATTTTATAAGTAGATTGTGCATCAAAATCAACACTTTGGAATTCTTCCGTAGTGTCATGTTTCAAATTCGCCGTCTTGGCCTGATTTAACGTTAAAAAAAAATTAAATTATGACTGGAAAATTGAGAACATTAAATCAGTTTATTATCAAGCCAATGCTAAAATTTAACGGAATTAAATATGATCAACACTAATTAGCGTTAGTTTCAGCCAAATTTTAACCTCAGCTATTGATATTATCATACTAACCGCCATCATTTTGCAAGTTGCAAAATTAACACCTGAAAGTTCTTCTTTAATATTGCCACTTATGTCATGTTTCGGGCTCTCAGTCTAATTTATCATTATTAAAGAAAAAAAATTAATTAAACCTTACAAGTTTAAATACAGTCAATCCTTTTTGGATACATTATGTCGGGACTATATGCAGAAATTTAGTCAAATATGAATTTAGAGAGATATTGCATTTAGGAAGGAAAAAATCTATAAGTAGTATATTAGTTAGGCACAGGTGAAGACGTGCATTTAGGGGTGTGGGGGCTTTTCATAGGGAGCGCATTTACAGTAGGGAGTTGCATTTAGAAGGATCTAACTGTAATTCATGATTCAAACTTTATACACACTAACCAAATTATCAAAGCTTAAATATTTAATGCTTGAATATAAAGTTTTTATATGTTGTACAAGAAATATCAAGTGATTTTCAAGAACAGTGATACGAGAATTTAGATCTGTTACATGTTCCTCATGAGTGTCAGGTGCTGAAACTGAATTGGTAAAATTTTCCATCGTATCATTTTTATCACGCTCTGAGCTCTCTATCATTTCCTAATTTAATATTTAAAAAAAATTAAATTAAATTAAAACCAGAAAAGTAAGAATATTAAAATCATTAATTGTTACGACTGATGCTGAAACTTTGCAAAGCTAATACTAACCAATAGAAATTATCTGATCGACATAATCAAACGTTTAATTTTTAATTTCAGTTTCGCCAAATTTTAGCATCAGTCATAGTAATTATAATACTAACGGCCATCGTATTGCTAGTTTCAAAATCAATACTTAAGAGTTCTTCTATATTGCCATTTATATTATCCTTATTTTTTGCCATTATAAAAAAAATAAATTTTACAAATTTAAATAAATTTATTAATGAAAATAAAATTTTACAAATTTAAATAAATTTATTATTCAAGCTTTACATACATTAG